TTGATTTCTCGGCTGTGTTGCCTTGCCGGGCCGGTTGACTTGCGCTAACCCTGTGCTCACGCACCCTATGAAACTGGCGCCTTCCACTTGATTGCATTTGTGAAGAACCCGCTGTTCTTTTATTTGTTGTCTGGTGGCTCGGACGCATACAAATGAACTTTGACGCCGACGCAAAATGCCTAGTTCTGCTTGCTGCGCTAATAGGCTTCGAACCTTTCTCACATGCGTAGAGCTGCTTGTCTCACTCGCCGCTTTGCTACGTCTGTTTAGTCTGCGCCACTTTTTGCGGCTCGTTGCCATGCCTTCAGATTTCATCGCAAGCTCGTCAACTCTGACACAGTATTCGTCCGCTGTCAAACCCGCGCCGTCTAAATGATTTTCGAGAAAATCACCTATTTCACACTCTAGATCGGCGGACAGCTCGACGCTCTCAGAAACAGTGCAGCTGCTTTCCTGCAAAAAATCTCGCTCGTCTTGCTGGGAGCTGCCTACAACCACACTGTTCTCATCCTCTACCTTCGCTGCTTCTCCTGAGCTCTCTCCGGTGTCCTTGACTACTTCCACATTGTCTGCAAGATCCACCGTCGCGACTAACACAGTTGAGGTCTGTACCAGCCTGCCTACCGCTATTCTAGCTGTCTCGCTAGTATTAAACTGGCACAGCACCTCGTCGCATTCGCTCTGGCCTTCGTCGGCCTCTCTACGCAGCGCAGCATCTTTAGCAGCTCTCAAATTTGGTTCTTTATCGAACCTGCTGCTGTCTTTAAACGTGCTAGCCTTCTCTACAACTCTGGGCTGCACCTCGCACTTCTCGTGGGCTACACTTACGGATGGCTGAATTTTCCGTCTCATTGCCTCGTTAATCTGTTCCAATTGTTCGAGCACCAAGGCGCGTGCTCGATCACGCTCTTTTCTATCCCAGCTTTCCTTTTCTTTTCTTTCCCGTTCCTCTCGTTTCCGTTCCTCTCTTTCGCATTCCTCTCGGTTCCGTTCCTCTCGCTCCCGTTCCTCTCTTTTCCGTTCTCTCTCTCGCTTCTGATTTCGTTCCTCCAACCTTTTTAAAGCTTATAACGTGTAACCAATATTCACCTCACTGCCGTTTTCCAAAATTAGCTCTAAAATTTCTGACCTGCCCATTCCTTCCTTAATCTTAATACCAAGGTCCTCACAAATGTACAAAAGACCATCTTTTAGCAGTGTCTTCACCTCCATGATTGCCGTTGTACTTTGGTCCTGCATCTCACACAAATGTAGGGGATCCCTCTAACACACAAATAGGTGATCTCCCTAACTCACAAACAATCCAGCTTCTAATAAACTCGCACTCACAAAGTGAAGCCTGGAAAGTAAAGCAAGGACCAAGCACTCACCACAGCACAGAACCATGCCGTGAAGTCCATCCCACCGCTGCCAACCAGTTGGTAAGGGTCGGAAGGAGGAATTCCGCTGATGGCATCCCACCGCTGCCACCAGTTGTTATGGTCGAAAGAGGGATCGCTGGAGGATACGAAAAACAAACAGGTTTATGGCATTATTTACACATATTTACAGAAAAGAAAGGTTAGGGGTTTCACAAACCACAAGCGTGGTGGTTGAACGTTACATAGTTCAGAGCGACGTCCAGCACTCTGCGGCATTGTTTTAAGCCCTGTCGGGCTCCTCCTCTCCGAGTGGACCACCAATCACGCACACAACAAGTGAGGGGGACGAGCATGCACGGTCCACGTGAACATCCAATATTGAGTCGTGAACACCGCACTGCAAGGTGGCGCCAGCAGGGCTCTTCCTTGTCGTGGGTGTGCCGCCAGTCGAGAGGTCCTACGGTCCTGACAGCATACCTCAAAGGGTCCGCCGATCGGTTCGCTCAATTAGCGGGGTGATTTGCGGTGGCCGCCGCGGTCTCTTCCAGGAAGATGCTTTCTTTGTTATCCTCTCTGGAACTGTTTACGATGTCGTGGCGACACGACGTCTCATCCTCCGGCTAGCACGGACAATGCCTGACGAGCATAGGTAGCCGGCCGGTCGTCTACTTGATTGGGGATTAAAAAAGTGCCGCTCCCCCGTCAGCTCTGGCGCCGGTCACGCCAGCTTCCCCGTCGCCTGATGAGTCGCCGAGGGCATCAGTCACCGCTTCTGCTTGAAGAGACGACAAAAGGGTCCGTAGTTGAAAGTCAGGAACTCGCCTTCGCTTGTCACATGGTCTGGGTAATTACTCAAATCTTCGACAGCGTCTGGCAGACTGGGTGCCGAAGGGATTGAGAGCGTCTCCATGGACCGGCTTACGCACCATGGCGTCTGCCCAGATGAATTTCCAGGCCAAACTTAACAACCCGAATACTCAGACGAGCAGGCGTCCTCACTTAAAAACCAAGTTAAAATATTTTACAGGCTGCACCCGTTACGAATAATCAATCAGACATGTCCCCGTATGCAGGACTCTCAAACAACACAAGTATCTTAAATTTCCTAATTTGGTTGTCAGGGTTCCTTTAATGGCTTTATTATAGAAGTGCATATGCAATGTTTAATAAATTGTATTGCCAGCACTGCAACCACAATTGACTTCTCATGAGCATTACCGTCTATTTGAAAAGTAGTTTCAAGACCTGGCGTGGCAGAATACTCTATTGCCATGCAGTGCTGGCGTTTGATTCCTGCTGGGGCCCTGACGTTTATTTTTGCATTTGTCAAGTCAGTGCTTTCAATTTCAGCTTTATCTTGATGCTCACACGTTGAAATTGCCCATGTCTGTTCTCACCGTTCCTGAGTAGCTATAAACTGTCAATCACCTGTGGCACATGTTGCCAGTGGATATGTGCCACATGTCTGGCAGTAAACGTTTGATGACGTACAAAACGCATTTGAGATATTATCCATGTCGTGACCATCGAGTCTACCTTCACCTACCAATTTTGGTTTATCCCAAGTTAAGGGAGCCATCACGGACAGACAGGCTTTCAAAGTGGCTGCAGTATGCAAAGAAATGCTTTGCATTTATATGAAGGAAAGAAGTATACATTTAAGGGCTCCTTTTCTGTGTTAGACAAAATAATAATAAGATCTAACTCACAATCATGCCAAGGAAAGTATAGGGGTTGTTATTAGAATCAATTGTAATATAAATGTGAAGAAAGAAAAATGGACTAGAAGTCAACTTGCTGTGGTTAGGGACAGAACTTGCGACCTTCCAATAATGCGTTCGACGCTCTACCACTGAGCTAAGTGGCAGTCATCCCTCCATCCACTTTACAGGGTATATAAGTGCATTAAATCTGGGAACGTCAGTCAGCGTCGCTTGTTGCCATTACAAGTGTGCAATACTTTTTTTGCTTGTTGGTATCACATCGCACGTGATCTTATTATGAGAGAGCAGCTGACCAATAATCCCTCACGTACTACCTGAAGGCATCAAGTCTGCCAGAACGAGACCCTCTCTATGAATGAAGGAAAGAAGTGCACATTTTAGGGCTCGCTTTCTTTGTGGACGGCGCGCAGAATACCATCGCAAGGGCTTGCCGCTGTTCGGGTATTATTTGACGCTGGTAGTACACCAAGAGTGGGAGCGTCAATCAGCGCCACCAGTAGCAATGATGGCGAATGTAGCCTGTTTGGCATCAGGTAGCACATGAACTTATTACGAGCTCGCAGCTGACGAATAGTTCCTCATGCACTACCTGTAAAAGTAAAGGCTTGTTTTTTCATTAGATCTGGCATTAATGATAATTAAGACAACGATGCCAAAAGAAGTGTAAGGGATGTTATAAGGAGTAATTGTTATGTAAATGTGAAGAAAGGAAAGTGGATGGAAAGATAACTTGCTGTGGGCAGGGGCTGAACTTGCCACCTTTGAATAATGCATTCAATGCTCTATCAATTGAACTACCATGGCAACTATCCCCCCATCCACATTATGTGGTATATTATATTGAACGTGGGAGCGTCATTCAGTGCCGCCAGTAGCAATGACGGCGAGTGTGGAACACTCCTTTATCAGTCTGTTCGTCGTCACGTAGCACATGAACTTAATACGAGCTTGCGGCTAACCAATAATTCCTCCTATAGTACCTGAACGCACCAAATCTGCCAAAATGGAACCTTCGGTGTGAATGAAAAAAAGCAATGTACGTTTGAGGGCTCATTTTATTTTTTAGATGCAATAATATTGAGATCTAACAGGCAATCATGCCAAAGGAAGTATTGGAGATGTTATTGGAGGTAATTGTAATGTGAAGAAAGAAAAGTGGACGAAAATATAACTTGCCTGGGGCAGGGACTGAATCTGCGACCTTCGAATCATGCGTCGATGCTCTACCAACTGAGCTACTACGGCCACTGTCCCCCCGTTCACATTTTGGTGTATATATGTACTAGCAGCATCAAATTAAACCCAAACAGCTCCAAGCCTTTATAATGGCATAGTGTGTGCCGTTCAGTTACCACCATTGACAGGTGCATGTATCCTGTTCGGCAGTTCTGCGCATATATGCGTGCCTGTCTATGGCGATAAGTGGACGGCGCGCACTATATCATCGCGAAGGCTTGCCGTTGTGCGGGTTTCATTTGATGTTGATAATACACTAAACGTGCGAGTGTCAGTCGGCCCCACTAGTAGCAATCATGGTTAGTGTAAAACACTTTTTATCGGCCTGTTTGGCATCAGGTAGCACATGAACTTATTACAAGCTTGCAGCTGACCAATAATCCCTCATATACTACCTGGAGGCACTAAGTCTGCCAGAACAAAGCCCTCACTACGAATGTAGGAAAGAAGGGCTCATTCAAGGGCTCGTTTTATTTGTGAGACACAATATCGATGAGATATGAAAGCCAATCATAGGTAATGTGGGGCTTTCATCCACTTTCATTTCTCTTTATCTCTTAATTTAAAGGTACCAATAACTATGCGTTTCTTGGCTTTGTTAACACACAGAAAATGGATCAATTTGCCAAATGCAGTGCAAGTGACTTCTTTAGAATGCAGTGTATTTGTTCATTTCCAGCTGTGAACATGTACCACCACTTCTGCGACTTCCTCAACCTGTACGTCAGCATGCACTTCAATAATACCCTCGCCGGCGATTTTGACATTCTCATCTGGGACACGGTGAGCATTATTCTATACGAACCTGTGAAAATGAAGAAGGGTAAATTTAAGGGCTCATTTTTTGTTAGAGACGATATCAAAGAGAACTTACTCTGTTAGTTCAAATTATTAAAATTATAAAAATCTAATTTATGTTCAAAGCTAGCTGCCTGTCACCACAAGATTACTGCCAATGCTTTAATGTCACATAAAGTTGCAAGTGGCCTTGTGATTAGAAAGCCCCACTGGGTTTGTTTTTCAGTATATACTCTAGCTATGTCTACAGTGTGACCCAGACTGAGGAATTAAAGAAGGCACTGGGTCTAGGCTAGTTGGTACTGATCCATAACTTATGTAAGGGCTGAAGCCACGTACGAAAGACGAGCGAAGGACACAGGGGTATCGGATCTTATCGCATGCGCCCTCCAAACGCCAGAGAGGGGCCGGCCAGGTCGTTTGATCTCTGCTTCAACCGCGTTTGTGCCCCTTGCTCGCATGCTTTTACCATACGATGCACAGGGCCCTGGTGTATGGTTTTTTTAATTTATACAGGACACGGTGACAATGGGAAAAACACACAGAGAGTTTCCACATAATCAGACTATTGCAATTAGACTATTGCACATTTTAGCTGAGTGTTTGAAAAGTGCAGCAAATGTTGCTTCTCAAGTGCTTTGAATGGGGGTGTAATGATGAATGTCATTCATCATTACAGGTCATGCATAGCTCGAACAACTCATCGTCAGTGCTAAGCACGAGACTCTCGCGCCAGACGTTATCGCTGCTTTTGCTGGCTAGGCCTAGGCTCCTACCTAATTTCAAATACCAGTTTTGACTATCCTAGTTCTTTATTATATTTGGTGGAGCTTGCTCGGTCTTCTCGCAATCCTGGAGTTGCGAAGCCGGACTCGACCTGTTGCTATGACCACTGCATCTGCCACAAGCCCTCCGCCTATGGCTCCCCAGGCCATCGTGTGCTCCGGTGCGGTCCGTCAGCGGGACCCTCCCATATTCAGCGGCACGGACGATCACGACGTCGATGACTGGCTGGCTACCTACGAACTCGTGAGTGTCCTGAACAAATGGGACGAAGCCACGAGACTGGCCACCGTCGGCATTTACCTCAGTGGCATTGCCCACTTGTGGCTTCGCTACCATGAAACCGATGTTCCAACCTGGACAGCCTTCAAGACAAAGTTCAGTGAAGTCTTCGGTTGTCCTGCTGTTCGCGAACTTCGTGCGGAGCAGCGCCTTCAGTCAAGATCTCAACTGCCTGGTGAGAATTTTGCCAGTTACATAGAAGATGTCATTGACTTGTGCAAACGCGTCGATGCAAACATGACAGAGATGGACCGCATCAAGCATATTTTCAAGGGTATCGACGAGGACGCATTCCAGATGCTCATTTCAAAAAGCCCGGCTACTGTCGCTCAAGTTACCGAGCTCTGCCAAAACTATGATGAGCTCCGCCGGCTACATCTCGTCACCCGCCGTGCTGTCCCCCATCAGGAATTGATGTCCGGCTTGACTCTCTCGCAAGATCCCATCCTCCTCTCCCAGATAAAAGATTTTGTACGCGAAGAAGTTGCCCGCCAACTATCGCTCATCTCCGGCCTAGCGGAGCGCAGTGCACCGCTTAGCCCTACACTGCGGACAATTATACAAGACCAAGTGTCTGAGGCCCTTCCTCCACAGCTGGTGCCACCAGTCAATGCGCCATTGACGTATGCCAAAGCAGCAGCACGACCACAACCACACACGTTCCGAGCGCCACCTCCACTGCCCGCTCCTGTTTATACCACCCAGCCGCCACGACCTCCAGTCCACCGAGTCCCTAATCCATGGCGCACTGCCGACAACCGACCGATCTGCTTTTCATGTGGTCTACCCGGACATGTCGCACGTCTTTGTCGCCGCCGCCCGCTCCATTCACGTGAAAACCCGCGTTCATATGAGTACGACCACACGTTTCCCTACACTCCAGACCCCCGAATCGCACCCTCCTCGTCCAAGCCACCGACCACCTTCTGATCGCCGATCTCCTTCTCCACGTCGTCGCTCGCCCTCCTCGATGCGCCGACGCCCCCCGACATTAGAAGCATAAAACTAAATGACGCAGTTCCCGAGGCAAGAACTGCGTCCTCGTTGCAAAGCACAAACCCTCTTCGTTCGCCGCCCAATGTGAATAATGCTGCTCTTGAAGGTGTACCTGTACTTGCCCTTATTGATACTAGTGCCGCCATTTCTGTCATTTCCGGAAAAGTTTGCCGTGCAATTCGAAAAATGACAACGCCTTACTCGGGTTCGTTTCTTCATACTGTCACTGCACAGCCTGTGCAGCCTGTGGCGGAGTGTGCCGCCAGACTTGTAATTCAAGGAGTGCCTTACACAGTGCAGTTCGTAGTACTCCCGCACTGTTCGCTCGACATCATTTTAGGCTGGGATTTTCTCTCCCATAACCAAGCCGTCATTGATTGTGCCCGTGCCGAAGTTGTCTTTTGTCTTCTTGGTGACGCTCTACCTGCGGATGATCGCCCTTCCTACGCGAAGTTGGTCATTAGTGGCGACACTCGGATCCCTCCTCACTCTACTGTCTTCGCACCTGTGTCGTGTTTCACCGTCGTCGACGCTACCGCATTCTTCACTTCTTCCGCTGCTTTCGTTCATCGCCACCTATCACCGCTCCCAACCGCTCTCGTTACTCTTCAAGGTGGCGCGACCGACGTGCCTGTGGGGAATCCTTTCCCATTCACGATTACGCTGCTTCGGGGCGAATGTATCGGCTCAATCGAATCATTCGAAACTATCGCTACACTTGACGTTCCTGATGGATCATCGGAAGTCAGCGCCCTCTCCTGTAGTTCCGAGAATGGCCCTTCCACTGCTGACATTCTCAACCGTGTAATCGACGAAGACCTAAACCCACAACAGAGGTGTGGGCTTTTGAGCATCCTTGACAAGTTTAGGCCATCTTTTGACAGTCACAGCGCTACCTTAGGTCGAACATCTACTGTATGCCACCAGATCGACACAGGTAATCATCCACCACTACGGCAGCGACCGCACCGTGTTTCACCGACTGAATGCCGTGTCATCGATGAACAAGTAGGTGACATGCTAAAGCGCGGCGTCGTTCAACTATGAAACAGTCCTTGGGCATCGCCAGTTGTTTTAGTTAAAAAGGAGGATGGCACAATACGCTTTTGCGTAGATTATCGTCGCCTAAACAAAATAACACGAAAGGATGTGTATCCTTTACCTCGGATCGATCACGCCCTCGACTCTTTACAAGGCGCAGAGTTCTTTTCCTCCTTTGATCTACGCTCTGGGTATTGGCAAGTGGCCATGAATCCGGATGATAGACCAAAAACTGCCTTTGTTACTCCAGACGGCTTATACGAATTTAACGTGATGCCATTCGGCCTATGCAATGCGCCGGCAACATTTGAGGGCATGATGGACACTATCTTACGAGGCCTCAAATGGAACACGTGTTTGTGCTACTTAGATGATGTGGTGGTATTCTCGCCCGATTTTCCCACGCACCTTCGTCGCTTGGAACAGGTTTTACGCTGCCTTTCTGCAGCTGGCCTCCAACTAAACTTGAAAAAGTGTCACTTTGGAGCCCGCAAGCTGACCATTCTCGGACATGTCGTGTCAAAGGATGGCGTTCTCCCTGACCCTGCTAAGCTATGTGCTGTTAGCGAGTTCCCGAGGCCCACGTCTCTCAAGCAGCTGCGTAGTTTCATTGGGCTTTGCTCATACTTCCGCCGCTTCGTCCGGGATTTCGCCTCGATCGTAGCACCTTTGAGTGACCTACTTAAGGGACCGCAATCTATCTGCATGGTCTCCAGCCTGCGACAGTGCTTTTGCGAAGCTCCGTGAACTGCTAACACCACCACCCATACTGCGACATTTCGATTCAAGTGCTCCCACACAAATCCACACGGATGCTAGCGGTGTCGTTCTTGGCGCTGTACTCGCCCAACGAAAGCCTGGTTACCAAGAATATGTTGTTGTGTACGCGAGCCGCACTCTTACAAAAGCAGAAGCAAATTATTCGGTAACTGAGAAAGAATGCCTAGCGTTCATCTGGGCCATTACCAAATTTCGGCCTTATCTGTACGGCCGTCCTTTCGATGTTGTTACCGATCACCACGCGCTCTGCTGATTATCCTTCCTCAAGGATCCCTCCGGACGCTTGGCACAGTGAGCTTTACGGCTCCAAGAGTATGACATCCGTGTCATTTATCGCTCAGGCCAAAAGCATGCCGATGCCGATGCTCTTTCGCGTTTCGCCTGTTTCTGCTGATATTGCGAGTGTCTCCATCCAAGACAACTTACTTCCACTATCAGGACCCATCGACATGGCTGCGTAGCAGCGCAAAGATTCGTGGATTGCGTCTCTGATGGATTCTATCTGAAACACTCGTCCACCTGCCATCTCGAGCACTACACCGTCAAGCCTCTCACTTCGCCATTCGTGATGGAATACTTTATCGCCGCAACTACCACCCTAATGGCCGCAAATGGCTACTCGTCATACCCTAACATCTCCACGCCAGCATATGTGCTGCTTTCCATGCTGATTCGCAGTGTGCACACGCCGGTTGTTTAAAACCTACGCCAGGCTACGTTTTCGGTTTTATTGGCGCGGCATGTACACATTCCTTCAAAAGTACATTCGATCTTGCACAGAGTGCCAACGCCGCAAGCACGATCCTAGCCGTTCTACCGCACCAATGCAGCCGTTACCGTGCCCAGTGCGACCATTCGACCGTGTTGGGATAGACCTGTATGGTCCTCTGCCATACACATCAGGTGGGAATCGCTGGATAATTGTAGCGATCGACCATCTCACGAGATATGCAGAAACGGCCGCTCTACCAGCCACGACGGCACGTGACGTCGCGTCTTTCCTCATACAACGTTTTGTTCTGCGTCACGGTGCTCCACGTGAACTTTTGAGCGACCGAAGCCGCGTCTTTCTCGCCGATGTTATTCAGGAACTTCTTGCTGAA